TTCAAGGCCAGGTTGGATGGGGCTTTGGGCAACCTGGGCTGGTGGAGGTGTCCCTGCCCATGGCAGGGGGGTTGGAACTAGAGGATCTTTAAGGTCTCTTCTGACCTAAACCTTCCTATGATGCTATGAAATTTTCTGAAATTGTGTGGATTGTCGGTGAAAGCGTCTGTAGTTCAGTCATGCAGTCTGGCAGTGTCAGTTGAGGGAGTCTGAGTCCCAAGTCGCTTGTTTGCATTTGTTCTGTTGTGCTGAGAAATCATTCTGTGAAACAAATCAGCGAACTGAGACGGCTGAAAAAACTCTGTCAAGGGAGCTTTTCTTAACAAGTGCTGTGAAACAACTCCTGTTACAACTGGAGGAGTACAGGAGTATGAATGACCTTAACCTGGCAGTGCTGCTGAGGAAAAAACACTTGGAAACAAGAGGGAGACTGCTCAGTTGGTTGGTTTTTTAATCCTCCAGCCTCTTCATGTATTTTTTCCCCTAACTTTTCTGCTTCTTCCTTCCGTAGGATTGCTGTGGAGATACAGGAGTCAGAGGCATCAAGTGACCATTGAAATTTTCTAACTTCTGATAAAGAGGTTAGAGTTACAAACAAATCAAAACTAACAGAAATCTAATTTTGATAACTACAATGCCAGACATGATTCACAAATCAGACTGATTTAGGTAGCTTACCTTCAGAGGGAATTTGCCATTCCTGTCAACAAAGAATGATGGCTGTCCCCTGCTACTGCAGCAGATTACAAAGTAATTCATTAAGTAGATAAAGAGAAGGTTTTCTGCCCGTCTTACTCGAGAAAACTACGGTTATGATCTAGACCCCAAGGTGAAAAATCAATGAGCGTTTTCAGTACTTCATGAGATCAACTTCTCAGGAAATGGTGAAAGTGCACTTCTATTTTCAAGTGTATTTGTGTGCAGACACTTTACTGACTTCCCCCACTGACTTCTGAAAGTTTGTATGGGCGTGCGAGTACGTTCTTTGCATGTTAAAGGCTTGAGTAATAACATAGCCGCAACATATTCAGTACTGAGTAAAGAATGTCAAGCCAAGGTAGGTTGGACTTGCTGTATGACATGCAGCGTAGCTTAGTTGTGCAAGTTAAATGAGATAAAGTAGAATTTTATATAGCTTTTTTCTCTGAAAAACAAGAAATCTGCTGGTTGTTTTGTGAGGAGAAATTATTGGAAAGAAGTTTTTTAAGATGGTGGGGAAATTGCTACTTAACTGTTACTACTTTTGTTGGTAACTGTAGATAGTACAGTAGGAAGGTCTCATGGAGCTAACTTGAGGGGAAGACTTGAAAGTAAGCTCCTGGAAAATGTGGAACCTCTAAATTAATTACAGAATTGGCAAGAAGGAAGTTAACCTCAGTTTGCATTTCCACTTAACTTCCGACAGAAATTTGATTTTAATGGTTGGTGTGACTTTTTGGTGCTCCTCTACAGCTGAAGGCTGTGGCGAGACGGATGAGAAAGTTACTGATGCTTCAGACATTCAGTTTTTATGCTGGTCTGCACTGAATTTCTTGTGATTTCTTGTGCAGTATTTCCACAAGGTGCTTCAGAGACACCTGCTTTCACTAGCGGGTTATGGCTTGCTAATTGAAGTCAAACTTGTTGAAACAGTAGCTCTTCCCACTTATCTCCATCAGAAACATTGAGGGAATGTTTCCTTGAAGAGGAACTTCCTATCCACATGGAAAGCAACTGTTAAGCTAGCTCCAAGTGTCAGCCTGTTGTGATAACTAACCCTGTTTCAGTCTGTGTCAGATAAACCATAAACTGTCACAGCGGGAGCTGCTTCGTGAGCTGTTTAGTCATCACTTCAGTGGTGCTATCTCCCACAATGTGGACAATGGAGAAGTGTCCGCTTTGTTGGCTCAGACCTTTACTGTGTGTTAACATCCTTCAGCCTCTGAAGCAGCTATTGTGAATTTACTGTTGTTTGAGTCAGTGTATGGACTCATTTAAGTGCTTTGTGCCAGAAAATGATGCACAACACTTTCTTGTTATAATTTGAATGGACTTATGTACATGGACTTATGACAAACGTATGTACTTAAAAGAATGTCATATGCTTTTGAAGACTTGTTAAAGAGAAACCTTATAAAAACCAATATTTTAAAATGGGAATCTGTACTAGATTACATACAGTAAATGAGTTGATTGTGTCTTTGTTCTGTACAAGACCTTTCACACCTTCTTTTAAGTACCTGAAAAGAAGAGCCAATGTTTCTTCCTTTTAGCTGCTTTCTCTGGTCTCTTAAACCATCTTTGAACCAATCTTTGAACCTGTAGAAGTGAGTAGGCCTGTCAGACACTTGTTGAACTGTTTCAAGGTGCCCTAGTGTGTTTGCTTTAGGTGCTTCAAACTACACAAGACAACCTACTGACATGTTTAGTATGCTAAATCTAGTTCATAGATGTAATCTGAAGTATCTGAATACTTTAATACTTTGCAGTGGTGAGTCCTTTCCAAGAAAAGAATTATTAGCTGAGACCAGATTATAGTTTCACAACTATTTCTAGGCTATTTTGACCAAGCCTTGCCTAGCCTTTGAATGTTGCTTTGTGTGAAGTTGGATGTGTGTGTTTGGAGAAAGGTTTGGAGAACTGATGACGGTAAAACCTTATTTTCCTCTCTGGACTGGCTGACTTCAGGCATGTTTGTTTCTGAGCCTGTTTGGTACTTTTGTGTAAATGGGTGTACAGGTACAAAGAGGAGAGTTAAATGTGATTGCAACAGTTGTTAAGGACTAGGACCGTGCTTCAGAGGCCTTTGCAAAGATTTAAGCTACTGAGTTTAAGCTACTACAAGAAAAGGGGTAAAAATTTGCAGTGATGTATGAAAGGTAAGTTTAAATGATGAAAGGTCCTGAATAATGTAGAAAGTGTAGAAGGACTTCAAGCTATGGAGTGACTGGATAATGAAGTGGCAAATGAGATCCAGTGCAAACAGAAATAATCCACAGTGAGAAGAGAAACGATAGTCCGGGAGCAGTTAGAATGAGAACCTGCAGTCTGTAATAATTCTGAGAAATTACGCCTGATTGCACTGTGTGTGGGGGAGAAAGGCTATAAATATTACTAGTTGGAAAGGAGCAAATAATAGAAAGTGGTCTAGGCTGCCGTGCTATTTCACTCTGTTACTGTAAATGTGTTTTGAATGCTGCCTGGGTCCTGTCCTGTCTATCAGAGGTTAGAGTAGAACTGGGGGAAAGCAGCAGTAACTTCAACAGCTCCCATGTGAGAGGTAACAGAATTGGTAGGGTTCTTTACCTGGGAAATGTGTGGCTGGGTCCGATCATCCTTACTGGGACTTGAAGGGAGAAGGTGGAAAATGAGTTTTCTGATGCAATGATGAAGGGTGTCTAATGAAGTGACAAGGTGCCAGCTGTGAAAGAAGGAGAGGTGCTGCTTTACAGGTCCAACAAAACATGTAGGAAAATTTGCAGAAGAAAATACTATGAAGGACTAAAAGAAATCAATATTACTGCTTGAAATCTTTGGATGCATAGCCTGTAAGAAACCTAGAGAACACCTGGGAGAGGAGTGCTAGTCTTAAGTTTTTTCTGTTCCTCTGTATTTTCCTAGTCACCTCCCTGAATATTTTTGCATTTGGGATCAGGCAGGACTTAAACTGGTGACCCAGTTGTGTATGAGGATGCTGGAGTTACTGGGCTGGGGGGGATGCTTGTCTGACCCACTATGGCTGCTCTTGTTTAGACTTACACTGATTATAAAGGTGCTTAAAACAGCTATTTAACTGTCTTGTCTAACCTTCTTGGTTTAAACTGTTTAGTATAAAGAAAATTGTTGGTTGCCTTCTAGAATACTAACTTCTGCATTTTTGTATATTTTGATGTTTTAAAGCCATTATAATTCCAGTTTAGTTTTCATATTAAATGTAAGTAGTGGGACCTTTTAGGGAGAAGGGAGTCCCTTCTCTTTGAAACTTTACAGTCACTTCTCTAACATGTAAATAGTAATTCTCATTAAACTATATAGGACACAGATTCATTTGTGACTAATTCAAATGTTTCTGGTGCTGACAGTGTACCTAAACCTAAATTTGTTCTTTCCATTGACTCTGTCTTCTCTAATTCTGTGGTCTGTCCTTGTGTTTGCATCAGTCATACATACTTTTAGTTTCTAAAGAGAAATACATTTGGACATAGGAATGTAACTTTACAGTCTCAAATTCTGCCTGTTACTTGTGAAAATACTCCCTTGTGTGTTGCCTGGTCCTATTTTACAATTCTCTGTATTTTACTCCTTTACTTGGAGTGTAGTGTTTGATAGCTAGCGTGACATAAGAGCATATTCACACTTACATATAAATAGGCTGTGTGTTGTGGAGTTGTATGAGGAAAAGGTGTTATTGATTCAAGGAACTTATAACTTTGAGTTTCGTGTGTGAAGAGAAGTTGCAAGATCTTTTGGTTTTCCTTCCTTATTCTAACAGGACAACTTGCATTAGCGATTTAACACATGTAGAAATCCTTCCTGTGCTGGAGACCTCTACAGCTGTGCTTTGTGTGACCTGGTCTAGGTGATCCTGCTCTGGCACGGGGATTGGACTGGATGATCTTTCGAGGTCCCTTCCAACCCCTAATATTTTGGGATTCTGTGATATGCTTAGTGGCAAAGTGTGAAGCTTTGTTGTACATGCCTGAGTTAGGTATGTAAGTAGGCCATGTAGTTAGAATTGGCTTAGGACCTTTTTAGCTTCCTTGGAATTTTGGGAAACTGTCAGGGGCTTGGGTGACTAATGTTTTGCGTAAGTAATCTCTTTCAAAATTAGTAGACTCCTGTAGTAGCAGAGACATTGCAGGTGTGCAAAATCTGAAAACATGACCAGATTTTTCATGACCTGAAGTTCTGGAGTTAGCCAAGTGAGTTCTAGCTCTGAATTGTATAAATATTTTAAAATATACGGTTTGTTACTTAACCTAATTCTGATTACCTTTTCTCTTGCTTCCCTTTCTTTAGAGACTCTACAGCGGTGGGTAATTCACTGGTCCATAAGCGCTCTCCTTTACGTCGAAGCCATAAGACCTCAGCATCTCTGACCAAGCTGTCGTTACGTGATGGACAGAAACCCAAAAAGCCACTGTGTAAATTTGAAGAAGGTCAGGATGTCCTAGCTAGATGGTCAGATGGCTTGTTTTATCTTGGAACTATCAAAAAGGTAAATAACTTTTCACTTCACTGGAGTCTTGCAGTATGATGTGTTAGTTAAATTTTACAGTATTACTGTCTCATTTACATAGTATTAAACACTTTCTTTTGTTTAGTCCTTTAACTCACGGCTTCCGCTGTGTTTTTGTTTTTCAGATAAACAAACTGAAACAGAACTGCTTCATTATATTTGAAGACAGTTCCAAATCCTGGGTTCTCTGGAAGGACATACAAACAGGCAAGAACTTCAATGAAGTAGTCATTGTTTGGTATTTTGTTTAGATTACTATATCTGCTACAGGAATATAATGTAATAATTTATTTTATCCTAAAGGGCAATTTAGTTTAATGTGACCCAGGTTCGTGAATTAGGCAAATTGAAAAGGATTTTTTTTATAAACAATTCTTTCTCATTGCAGTTACTTTCCTGTGTGTGTGGTTTTTTTTTCCTTCACATAACTATGTGCAGGGAAGGGGGAACAGTTCTAAAAACAATCATATTTGAGTTTATTTCCATGGGGATAGAGTATAATACTCCAGAATAACAGAAAGCTCCAGACCCTAATTTACACTGAGTTAATATCCTATTGTTTTCACTTGAAACATGATGTGGAAGGAAACCAAAGACTGAAAAAATCCTGGGTTTGAGTGGAGTTTTCAGATTTTAAAGTAACACTGTAACTATTGCACGTAAGAAACCATTACAGATTTTGGCATATTCATGTAAGGAGGAAATGTCCAAGTCTCAAGTGAGACATCTATTGTATATTACCTTTGATTTTTTCAGGTATTTGGGAGGCAGCTGGTACTTTGATAATCTAATGCTGATGAATGACAATGGCTGGCAATTTCAGTGACAATTTTTTTCTGAAAATAGGTTACAATTCCCTCATCATATAAAGGCGATGGGAATCTAATCTGATTCTTGATGTTTAAACCCTTTATCTGCTAACAGGAGAAGCTTTGTATTCATAGTAGCAAAAAATCAACTGCTTTATTTCTGAAGCTTTTAAAATACTGCTGTTCTGCTTCTGTGTGTACTATTCATGATGTTTAATTCATTTACTGTAACTGTCAAACTATCATGCATGAGTATGATAACATGCAGATAAAGTAACTAGTGTTTTAATCCAGATTTTTACCTTGATACATGGTATAATTGGAGCAAGATGTAGTTTTTTTTGTTCCAGTTTGCAAGCTAATGTTATTTTTCTGACCTCTGCTGTTAACTGTGTGCTTGTGAATGCTTGCAGATAGTGATAACATATTTCCTAGAAGTGTTAGAGTTTAATATTAAAGCACCTTGGGTAGATCTGTCAAAGTAAAATGCACCAAATGGTGCATATATTTAAATGAGAAGAAGCACAAACAACTGTAAATACAAAACATCCCTATCAGCTGTCCAGATAGGATCTGTTTATACATATTTTCTACATTTTTTTTATGAAGATACTTAATTTTTATTGCTGATATTATGGTACCATGGGCTGCACAGTAAATAGGCAATATATGGCCTATAAATATCTGGTAGCTTATGATAAGTGATATAAATACTTTAACATGTACAGTCTGTACAGAATGTCTGGATTTATTGCTTATTAGAAAGTTAGGCTCTGTAACCATGTGTTTCTAGAATGCATAGATCTGTAACTGAAATGATGAAAGAGCCATGCAGGTGGTAACTGTTCCAACTGCAGAGGTAATCTGAAAAAAAATCACTCTTGTCTTTGTCTAGGAGCCACTGAAAGTGGGGAAATGGTCTGTACAATATGTCAGGAAGAGTATTCAGAAGCACCGAATGAAATGGTTATATGTGATAAATGTGGGCAAGGTAACGAGATATTTCTTTTTCCTATTTATTTTTAATTTTAAAAGATATTTTGATTTGTTTTATGAAGAAGGATATTTGCCTGGCTATGACTGCTCAACTGATCTTAAGTTTTATAGCCCTTAGTGGCTGTTAGCAGCTCAGTGAATAACGATCCACCATGGTAAAGTGGCTCACACATGTTCTGTAAGTAAAGTTTATTTTTTTATCCACTAAAAAAAGAAAAGTTAAAATAACATTTTGACTGTTACCGATCTTCTGGATCAGATTTTTGGTACTTAATGATGGATAATGCCTTATAGTTGCATTGAATTTATAGATAGTTAATTCTGTGTAAGCTTATTTCAACAGTTTAATAGCACTTTGGCTGATAATTTTTGTACAGGTTATCATCAGCTGTGTCACACACCAAATATTGATTCCAGTGTGATTGATTCAGATGATAAATGGCTCTGTCGACAGTGCGTTTTTGCAACAACAACCAAGGTGTGTTTCTAGAAGAACATTTCTTAATACATCCCGTATTGCACCCGTACTTTGTTTTTTAAAGTTGAAACAATAAAAGCGCATTTTTTTCAGTGACTTTTTCTTAACTTTGATCTGAATTAAATATTTACATGTTGAGAATTAGTATTTATTTTAGAAATAGTTAATATTTGGCTTTTGATTTCTTTTTAAATAATCTCATATTAAATATAATGAAAGTATTTTACTTGATTGTAGACTGATTTTCATAACCTTCAAATTAAAGGATTTGAAAGTTTCAGAAGTGTATTATTGTTTTTGTAAACCAATGTATTTGTTTTGCCTCAGAGGGGTGGTGCACTTAAGAAGGGACCAAATGCTAAAGCACTGCAAGTCATGAAACAAACCTTACCATACAATGCAACAGACCTGGAGTGGGATGCAGGTCATAAAACCAATGTCCAGCAGTGTTACTGCTACTGTGGAGGACCTGGAGAGTAAGTAAACAGATAATGTAGAAGAGCTTTTCTCTGTAAACTTTGGCCCTGATCCTGTAGACTTCTACTTGTGAACTTGTTTCTTTTGTGTCTCGGTATTAAACGCGATGCAAAGTGGATCTTGAAATTATATCTGTATTTCTTAAAATGTCTCATGGCAAATATTTTATTAATGGCTTTGCTTCTCCCATCAGATATTTCAGTTTGTTTTAACTTTATCATGTCACCATCACATAACATCGCAGTCCATTCTACAACAAGCAAGAATGTGTTTTTTTGCATTGGTGCTGTTAAGTGTTGGGATTGGATGGAGTTGTCTGTTGATCTTGGCAATTGTAGGCAGTGTTTTTTTCTGATGTTAACTCAGCTCTGTTATTAGTCACAAATATAAATGTATCTAGAGATTAGTCTATTAAATTTTATTGGAAGGTCTGATTCTACCATAATATCATATCCTGGATTGCAATGATTGGTGAGGGAAAGACTTTTTGCCTCTTATGGCATTACAGAGTCTTCTGCTGGTTCTTTCTTACAAGAAAGGCAAGAAGAGGACTTCTTAAGCAGGTAGAGATAAAAACTTTGGTATCTGCATGGATGAGTGAACGAATAAAATAGCATTGAAGATTTGAAGTCAAGGCAAGTCAAGGGTCCCACAGAAGTGAAGCTTTTGAGTTCATACTCGTAGGACAGAGCTCTGGTTTCAGGATGTTGCACACTTGGACAACCATCACCTTCAGTTTTGCATGGTTTGTTTTCTCGAGGGAGGAGCTGAAAAAGGAAAAAAAAAAGGTATAAACTGTGAGGCTCATTTTGAGGATTCATGTAGCTGAATCCTCAGAACAAATGTTTGACTTAATACGGCTGTGTCGTGCTTTGGAAAGTAACAAGGAAGCTAATCTGGTATGTGAGACCGAGCTTAGATGGAGTTATGGAATTCTTATCGCTAATTAAAGGGTGGTTGGCAGAGGAAATTTTCTTCGTTTAGTAACTTAATTAATCCTTTTGCTAGAATATCTTTTATTCTTCATTTTTTTTCTAGTAATGATTCATTGTGGGACTAAATGTTACTGAAATATCCCTACAGAGGACTGTTTGTTTTGGAAACTCTGAAAATCAGTTTGAGTCAGAAGATCCCTTGCTATTTAACTTTAACGTATTGAACAGTTTTCAGTAACTTATTTAATGCATCTTGTTTTTTCTTTCTGTTGGTGAAGCTGGTATCTAAAGATGTTGCAGTGCTGCAAATGTAAGCAGTGGTTTCATGAGGCTTGTGTGCAGTGCCTCCAGAAGCCAATGCTTTTTGGTGACAGGTAAGAAACTTCAGCTGTACTTCATGGTTGTATTCATTTAAAATGTGGAGGGAATCTCACATAGGAGCTTTTAATAAGGCTTCTGTAATAATGATCTTTTCCAAAAGTGGGATGGATTTTGTGTAGAAGATTATATGAAGTAAAGCATGTGGGGTGGTGAGTGGTGGAGAGGTAACCAAGGAATAGTTGAATTCAAACTTGGTACTGACCTTGCTTTGTGTGGAAGTCATTCAGACTATAGGTGCTGGCTAAAGCTTTAAAGCAGACAGCCTTATTGGGCCTGATAAGTTAGATGAAGGCTGTCAGTGTGTGTGTGCAGTGGTAGTTCCCTGTACTATTGGTAGTAGGAAGGATAGCACATCCTCTGTTCATGTGTGGTGAGGCAGGACAGAAGCAAATAAAAAACCATTGGTCTGTGCTTTCATTTTAAGAGGAACTTGGAGCAGGTGGAGCAGATGAGAGAACTGGAGAAGGGAATCAAGGCTTGTATCATTCTTTAACTACTATACTTTCTTTTAGTTGTTGGTTGTGCTGGAATATTTGTTTGAAGGCACTGGATTAGGATCCAGGTCCTCATAAATGCATGTTTACACTAGTGGACAGGTTTCTGCATTTGGGAGAATGGAGTTGGGGACATTACAGAGCATCTTCAGTGATAGAAGCTGAGGGGCTTTCTCAGGGAGTATGAAACAGCGGTGCCAAGATAAATTGAGGAGGTACATTTTATCTGGCCTGGAGGGTACCAGCACAAGTTGTGGAAGTTGATAAAAGAAGGTGGAGGATGAAGGGACTGTCAAGTGCCATATGGTGTAGTTCCTAGCCTGCTTCACTGTAATATTAATGTTTTTTTAATAACTGAGGTGTTAAAGCATTAAAAGCATGTGTGTGTACAGACACCCACCATCCAGACACATGTACATATATCTATGTATATATTTTTAGGTTTTATACGTTCATTTGCTCAGTTTGCAGTTCTGGACCAGAATACCTCAAACGTTTACCCTTGAGATGGTAAGTATGAATTAAAGACAAGAAGTGAAAAGTTGCGTATATGTTCTGTTTTTCTTTCTGGTATTTTGATTCTGTCTTGAGTTGTTTGAGTTCTTACTGCTTGTATAAACAGGGACAACTTTTCCTTCAAAGTTTATCCCTGAGTGTAGAGAGATATTGCACTTGCATGCTCTTGGGATTGTTCAGTAAAGTAGCAAGCAAATACTCGCTTGTGTGTGTGAAAATGGAGATGCCTGAACAAAGTCTTTTTTTTGCAGTTTTGGCATTCTGCCATTAGATAAGGCACATGTAATGAGTACTGGAGTACACACCTTGATGTTTTATAGTGGCTTCCTTGATGAGATTTAATAGTCAGTTGTAGTTTGAAATCTTTGAGCTAACCCATATTAGAAATTACGTCCAATTTAGTAGATACCTGTTTTGTGCTAACAAATACCTAGTGGAAATTAGCTTGTTAAATGTTAAATCACCAAGAGACTTGCATGAATTCAGAAATTATAAATTCAAGTATTAATTTGGATTTACTTAATTATCCCATGGTTTAGACCAGTTTTGGACTTTAAAGAACGTAATGACAATGAGATGAGGCAGAGATGAAGGTAAGGTACAAAGCAGAAGCAGTCACTTGAGGATTGAGATGACAGGAGACTTCATAATGTTGTTACTTGGATTGTGTTTTAACTTGTGCTTCTCTGTATTGTGCTTTTTCTTTCTCTGTTTTTATTCAAATATTTCTGAATTCTAGGGTAGATATAGCACATCTATGCCTTTACAACCTAAGTGTTATTCATAAAAAGAAATACTTTGATTCAGAGCTTGAACTCATGGCATACATTAATGAAAACTGGGATAGATTGCATCCTGGTGAGGTAAGTAACTGGAATACTCTTCCTTGGTTTTCCTCACAGTGCACACATGTGCTGCAGGTTAGCAACCTGTGAACTGCTTTATTCTGGATGTTAAATCCTTTATTACCTTAAAGTCTGGTAATCCCAAATAATGAGGAGTTCCATCTTTCATTTCATTGCAGAAATAGAATGTTTTAAGTGGTGTATGTTTTTCTGAGCTATAAAATTTCTTAAGTGACCCATGTAACTATTACTTTATTTGCATGGCAACTTTAATTATTTATACTCGACTGTTTATTCTGTTGCATGTATATTTTCCTTTTCTTTCATTTTATAATTGTCTCATAGTTCTTTGATATTTTCATGTGCACAGACCAGAAAATCTAAATGTAGAACTGAATGCAGAGTGCATCGCATATGAAGACCTCTTCAAAGTCTCTAAGGTGTAACATACAACAAATTATTCTACGCAAACACTTTTTTCTTTCCTCCCTCTTCCAAACATGGGAGTGATTTAATTTGTCTCCAGGTCTAAAAATTGTGTAGATCCTTTTCCAGTCCGATTCTGCTGCTTGTCGAGTCATCTTGTTTTCAGTTCATGACTATACTAGTTATTTTTCCAGCTCTTTGATTTACTGGGCAGTTACCTTAGCATTAAAGGAAATCCATTTCCCCAAGCAAATTGACTTCATATTTAATTAAGGAACACTGTAGATATTTGTTTCTACATGTAAGGTTGGATGCAAAATTTATGTCTAAGTTAAAATTTGCATACTGCTACTAGGTATGCCTTTTTCTTGCATGAAAATTACTTTAATACCATATAACTGGCTTTCTTATGAGTACATCCTACTTTTATACTTCTTTTCAGTAAATTCTTATGTCTGTAATCTATTTTTACTAGCAGACACAATTTGAGAATCAAGCGTGGGCTTTGGTTTTCATAAATCATGGAAAACAGTTTAAACTATATATGTTTATATACCAGAAGTTTTAGAAAAACAGGCAAGCACTCGAGCATTACTTAAACAACAATCAGTGTCATTTTGAATAGTCATGTGGCTTTACTTTGGGCTGTCTTAGCTAAGTCATATCACGTCTCAAGCTTTAATTAGAGTCCCCACAAAATGCGGTAATTCTCACCCAATCAAAAAGACAAGAAATAGAATTTCACAGAACGAAATGTTCCGGCTCTCTTACTACGTGTTTTTAAAAAATACGTAAGCGGAGTTTAATTTTGACTTGTTTCTCATAGTATTGAGGGAAATGTAGAAGAAATGAATGGGTTTTATTTGACTTAATGTAACTTTCTTTAGATATAACGTAATTTCATGTCAGAATGGCCAGGGAGAGCAGCTGTGGTGTGGATGAGGAGAGTGGGGCCATCTTGCTGCCATTGGCTTGGAGCACACTTGCTGTTCTGAAGAAGTTGAAAGGCTTCAGTCCTCGTTGTGCTGCTCTTCCCCCTTTCCTCTTTCAATCCATACACATTCAATCTATGTGAAAAACACAACTGAGCAGGAGGAAGGAGAGAGGAGATCCAAAATAAGGAAACTCACCTCTTTATTAAGTGGTACTTTCAGTTCCTTAACCAATGCTTCTACACCTTCAAGGAAACGACTTCTTTTAAGTCTGAAGACTATGTTTTTGAAGGGGTAGATTTTAAGTAAGTGTGTGAAAGCTGTGTTGAGGAAGCCTTAAAGATTTGGTTCTTTTATTCTAAACGTCTCTCACTAAGTTGGGAAAAGTGGTGTTGAAGAATTTAAGACAAACGTATTTTACTACCTCTATAATCTGATTTCTTTATTAAACAGAAATCAGTCACAGAATAACATCTACAACATAGTGGTTTTAGGGTTTTTGTAATATTCTTAGCCTACCACTGTTAGAAATGACACTTTGGTTTCTTTTTCTGGCTGCTTATATCACTGAGTAAGAGAAGTGTGGGATTTTTTTATTCATAAGTGAAATAGGGGTAAACAGTGAAATTATCTGACCTCCTAAGTAATTTTTAGCATGGTATTATTTAGGACACAATAAATATATAGCAGTTTTCTGTAGTTAAGTCCTGCAGAGCTACAAGATTCTGGATAGCAGTGGATTATACTGAATGCATATGACACAGATGTGTAAAAGCAGTTGTTAGTTTCTTTGGCTAAAATCAGTTTAATACCTCACTTTGGCAGGCAGGTAGACTGTGACTCTTGCCTAAAATGATGTTAAAAGGTTAGATTTTATGAGTATATTTACTGATTTATTTAGCTGTTAGCGCATTTAATTTTTGGAGCGTTTCCATCTGTCCCCTTTGGTCAGAATTGTATTCTTTTTAGAAAGTGTTTGGAGAGGGTGTTTTGAGCTGCAGATGTTATGCAGTCTGCTCTGTAGTGTTCATACTAATAGTGAACCTTAAAAACTTTGTCCACACTAAAGATAAACTTACTGCAGAGCCAATTGGGTATAAATTCTGCAACGTTTTGGCATAGCAACTGGAAATATGGTAGCTTCACTGGAATTTAAAAACAGCTGTCTAAATAGGAAAATAATCTCATTTTAAATTCTATTACGTAAATGTTGTGTCCAGTTCTTTTTAGTTGCCACCATACTTATTCTGCTTTGTCTCTAATTCATAAGCGTGTGTTTTTTCAAAGAGAAGATTCCGTGTTTTGGTAGCTTGATAGGGACTGGCTACTTCAGGCTTTTGTGCAAGAAGAGACTGGGTCATAACAAAAGGGGCGTGAAAATTATTTACTTTTATTTTAGCTCACTCTAACCTATCTGGGCACCTTTTTTTTTTTATATTCTATTGGTCCCGAGCTGACTAATGTTGGCAAAAAATGCAAATTGGATCCTGTGGTAGGATTTCTGTTGAAATGGTCACCAATAAGATAACTTAAGTTCTTGTGTCAATATAATCATCTTCTGCTTGTAGTCTCAATTAATATGGGAGTGCGTAATGCCACAGAAGAAGAGTTCTTCTTAGCAGTCTTTGAGTATTTTAAAATTCTCTGAGATTTGTCTTGTACTTGGAAGTAAAACGCAAAATGCTTTGACCTGGGCTTGATCCTGGCATGAGTTCTGTGGATATAAATCACAGAATACGTGGGATAATGATTAATATCCTTTAGGATGAGATGGTTTGCACAGCTAATACTTCATAAATGTACTTCACATCCAGATCTGTAGTTACGGTGACTGCAAGTAACTGGAATCTTTCTATTACTGAAGAATTTGACAGGTTAAATGATTTCTTAATACTTCACAGCTGGCAGATACACCAAAATCTGAAAGATATGAGCATGTACTGGAGGCATTAAATGATTACAAGACCATGTAAGTTATTGGTACTTCTTGTTTTAAGTGTTGTTTGCCTGTTTAATCTGATGTAGATTAGTCTTCAGTCTCTTTTGCTCAATCTGTCTGATAATCACTTTGGCTGCAGATAACATTTAAATTTTGAATACTGTTTCTGTGTCAAACTATAACATTGTATAATTATGAGTGGAACCCAGATAATGAGAAAAAATTGTTTTAACTTCCATCCTCTTCCCACTTCACGTTCTGTATTTGAGAGTGAGGATTGTGTTAGGGGAAAGAGGGGAATAAAATAGCATTAGATTGAATATTCTAATTTGCCTAGCTTTGTTTTGCATGTGTACTGTTATCGTAAAAGTTCTTTCCTTGGGGTCAAAATTTTAACCGTGAATTTAAAATCATCTAGGTTTATGTCTGGAAAAGAAATAAAGAAAAAGAAACACTTGTTTGGCTTGAGAATTCGCGTTCCTCCTGTGCCGCCAAACGCAGCTTTGAAGGCTGAGAAGGAACCAGAAGGAACTTCCCATGAGTTCAAAATTAAAGGGAGAAAATCGTCTAAACCAATTCCTGATGTGAGGTAAAATAACTCAGTCATTCTAGCAATATATTGGTAAATTCGGGCTACTTCAGGTGTATTTTCGGTGCCTACAAAAAGGCCTTTTCATTGTTTAATGTATTTTTGAAAGTGACTGTGAAGGTGGACTATTTGTGAGAACAAGATGTTTTTAAAAACAAAAACACCCAACACCTACCCCCACCCCCATAAAACCCCCAAAACCCAGCATGAAGTTTAGCAGAAGAACGATAGAAAACAATACTGACTTTGCTACTGTTTGGGAGACAAAATCTCTTGCCTTTCTGGAGCTCTTGGGCAATAATTAATCCTAAATAGGAAGTATGATGTGAAGTTGTACCTTGGATTAGTAAATGTGCCACCTTTTTTACCAAGTGTGATCACGTGAATATATATGTTTTTTTTTCCTAGGGAATTAAGTAATGGTATAGAAAGAAAGGGGAAAAAAAAATCAGTAGGTCGTCCACCTGGTCCCTACACAAGAAAAATGATTCACAAAACTCCAGAGTCTTCTCCTCTGGTAAGGGTTTGGATACTTTTTTCCCCTCTTTTTCCCTCTAACTGGATTATAATTGAAAAAAATTATAACCAGTTAATCTGAGTCATGATATCCCCCCCATTCATTCTCAAACAAAATCAATACAGCAGTTAAAACTGATTTTGAAGTTTGGTGGTTTGTTTGTTTCTTGGTTGTTTTTTTTTGTTTGGTTTTTTTTAGGATAATGAACCAGTTCCAGTGATAGAGAACCCACCCTTGGAATTACCCTGCACTGTTGGGTAAATAAAAACCAGGAAATTTAAACAAAATCACTGTAAAACATTACAATACCATGTCATTTATCTGTTTGCTTCTGAAATGTCAGCTCAGTTCTTAATATAAGACTATTTTCATTACATGGCAACCCTGTTCCCTGGCGTATCAGGAAATCTGATGGAACTGCACATTCATCCAATACCTCAGATGTGGAATCCACAGGTGCTGCCAGTATGAAAGAAACTACCTCATCTAGCATTTCCAGACATTATAGGTAATTATTCAGTTACTCTCTATTAATTTTATTAAATTTTTCTGAGAGGAGACAGGAAACAATTCGTTCAGCAATATTTTCATCCTTAATAAACAGAAGTTGCAGGGATCCTGCAAGGGAGATCTTACCAAAGCGTGACATGTGAAGTTCTAAGTCTGGTTTCTTACAACCTGAGGTGCTGTTGCATTTCTAGTTGGTTTTGAATCTTTTGGGCTAACTTCACAGAATCCCAGAACGTTAGGGATTGGAAGGGACCTCCAAAGCTCACCCAGTCCAATCCCCCTGCTGGAGCAGGAACACCCAGATGAGGTTACACAGGAAGGCGTCCAGGCGGGTTTTGAATGTCTGCAGAGAAGGAGACTCCACAACCTCTCTGGGCAGCCTGGGCCAGGGCTCTGTCACCCTCACTGAGAAGAAGTTTCTTCTCCAATTTCAGTGGAACCTCCTGTGTTCCAGTTTGTGTCCGTTACCCCTTGTCCTATCATTGTTTGTCACCGAGAAGAGCCTGGCTCCATCCTCGTGACACTCACCCTTTAAATATTGATAAACATGAATGAGGTCTCCCCTCAGTCTCCTCTTCTGCAAACTAAAGAGCCCCAGCTCCCTCAGCCGCTCCTCAGCAGGAGATGCTCCACTCCCTTGATCATCTTTGTAGCCCTACGCTGGACTCTCTCCAGCAGTTCCTGTCCTTCTTGAACTGAGGGGCCCAGAACTGGATGCAATATTCCAGATGTGGTCTCACCAGGGCAGAGTAGAGGGGGAGGAGAACCTCTCTGCCCTACAACCACCCCCCTCCTGATACACCCCAGGATGCCATTGGCCTTCTTGGCCACAAGGGCACAGTGCTTCCATGAAACCTGACCCAGGTAGTTCCGAAGAAATTACTGTCCAACAAGACTTATGAAGACAGATGATCGGATGAGAGAGGCTCAAACCACCAATCAACCCTTGCAGAAATGCAGACAATTTCTTAATTATCTCTGGCCTGGTCGTTACCAGTGCTGCTTTGTTTTGGGGAGCCTGTTTTCTTGTGTGTTTTGTGGGGTTTTTTTTTCTTTGTTTGTTTTCTGTTGGCTTTTTTTACGTTGAAGCTTTGGCAAAACAAAGGTAGAAGATAAAAGGTAGGAGCTTGACTTAAGTTATGCGAGGCAGCCGTAGTAGATGTGAAGTGGAGGTTCAGGGTATTGCAGAATTAGTGGGTGAAATGGAGAACTGAGGATATTGCAAAGGGTTATAACATTGAGGGTGTGTTAGTTCACTGGGATTTGGAGTCATGAGCAACTGAGACTCAGAGCTATAAACTGCATGGACAAATCTAAAGAAATAAGACAAAATTAGTCTTTATTAGTTCTGCTGACAACACACAGGGTGGAGGGTTTTTCGTGCTCACTAACTGCTATTCTTTGTTGATGTAGAGTAGGTAGTTAAATTATATTTACTGAAAAGAATTTAAGCTCAGGCAGTGTTTAGAGTTTGTTTTCTAGTAAAGGCCATGAAAGAGCTGATGATGCTTGAATTAATTTTAGAAGCTTTTCTTCTTGTGGGCTTGTGTATTCATGTTAAAGAACAGTAAGTATGCTGTGATTTTTCTAGTCAATAGAGCGTGAAAAATTTTTGGCATAGTCCTCGTAAATAAATTATTAACTACAATCGGCTTTTCTGCAAATAAATTTTTACTTGAACTTTTCCCTCTCAAGTTCAACAAACATAAATTTCTTGTTTATTGAGGCATGTGGGTCCTCAATCCACTTATTTTGTCTCTTCTCTTTCTGGTTCATGCTACCAAGTGCTGTCATGAGTCACTTTTTTTTGTGCATTTGCTACAAATGGGCTGTCTTCAGAAACTCATGTTTAACTTAGACTTCTGAAATGGTTACCTAAAGATTTAAGTCACTGTTTTGTATTTCTGCCCTTTCTTCCTTTTTCTTTAGTGTTAAAGAGAGGCTTTTTTCCTCAGTGTGTTACATACAAGTCTTGAACATCGAAGTTTGCATGCCATGTAATTTACAACTTCATCAAACGTGGTTTTAGTATGTGTAAGTTATAGATGTAGGTTTTTACGTAAGGGTTTATATTTTGGACCGTCCTAATGTTTGGAGGATGGTTTATTCTTCTGTGATGTCGGAGGCTTCATTTTCTGTTGTCAGGTATAAATCTGAGCTTTTGATTTTGTTTTTCCTTGCCACATATAATAAGTCTTTAGAAAGTCACATGTGAGGTAGAATAGATTTTGCAATATCTTCTTTCATATTTGTTTTTAATTTGAGATAAATTCAGAATGAAAAAGAAATATTAATTCAGTCTTAACTAACTTCAAGTATCAAACTCTTTTATAGTCCAGGCCTGCCTGTGTGATAAAGCAGTATTTTTAATTGGCAAATTTAAGCACTTTTTGTGCAGACTTCTCTGAAGACAGTTTTTAAAAATTTGCCTAAGCTGTATCAAAATATTATTCTTAACATATACGGGAATAAGTTAATATAATTTAGCTAACCTTTCTGATATTTTGCTAAATTAATACAATTGCCTTTATGTAAACCTTTATTTTCAAGTGCTGTATTTATAGTTATCTGTCTGTAGGCAACAAGTTATCAGTTAAAAGCAGAACAAAAGTTACGACACAAGTTGCATGGAAATAACTGATGATGAAGCGTACATTTTTGATGGAGTTCCTTGGAGTTAATGCTGGGGCTTTTTCTTTTTAATAGTTTATCTGACTCGAGAAAAAGGACTCGTACAGGAAGAACTTGGCCTGCTGCAATACCACATTTGAGGAGAAGAGGTCGCTTTCCACGAAAAGCACTCCAGACTCAAAATTCAGAAATTGTAAAAGATGGTGAGAGCAAGGAAGACTACCAGTATGACGAACTCAATACGGAGATACTTAACAACTTAGCAGATCAGGAATTACAGCTCAATCATCTAAAGAACTCGATTACTAGTTATTTTGGTGCGGCAGGTAGAATAGCTTGTGGGGAGAAATACCGTGTGTTGGCTCGTCGGGTGACACTTGATGGAAAGGTGCAGTATCTTGTGGAGTGGGAAGGAGCAACTGCATCCTGACTGTAGGACTGAACATTATGTTCACTGCACTGTCATCTGTAAGTAAGTACAGCTCATAATGCGGAGCCATGAGAGAAACGTGTCTTTAAATGTCTCTAAAAAAACAAAACAAAACCAGTTTAGCCTTAACGTGTAACTGTTCTCATTACAGCTCTTGTGATAAAGACTTATCTTTTTAAAATCTGATCTGAAACGTAAATTTTTTTAATCTGAACATTGTTAGATTGTTTTAGGTTGGGATATTTTGGGTTACAATTGCTTAAAAAATGTGCATGGTGTTTTAAAAAAAGGAAAAGACATTTTCTAGAAAACATTCCATGGATACAGTTATTGTGATTTAGAGAAAATCCTATGTAGATAGCACAAATCTTTGAGAAGTTTTGGTTTGTTTTCTTACCCAAATGTTTGCAGAAATGTATTTCTATTTCAATACTTTCTAGATTGCATAAGTGCAGTGTATATAATGCCTACCGAAGACTGTAAAATACTGAACTTTTCTTTCAAACAAAGTGTAAAAAGAACAAAAAAAAAAAGAAAAAAAGAGGAAAAAAAAAAAGAAAAAATATATTGAGCCTGTAAATTGCTCTGTGACCAGACTTCATTGTCGTCTTAATATATTCTTTGTGTGTGTGTGTGCGCACGTGTGCGCGTATATAGCGATGTATATACGCTCACACATACCTGTGCATGTATATATATGTGTGATTGTGACCTATGCAATACAAATTATGGGATTGGGCAGCTTCGGAGATTACATCCCATAATTCTTTTTTCAGGAATAGTTGCCAATATTTACACAGCAGCATTTCTTCTCAGGCTTATTGGGTGCTGTTGCTTTCTGTGTACTAAGAAGTGTCAAAGCGGTGCAGCGTGTTCAGGCAATGGGTGCAGTCGTTGACGTTCATACGCTCGAGGTGATATATTCCATTGGTTTCCATGTGAATTAACTGTTTAAAAGCTAATGCAGGATCTGAACGTTTTTAAATTAACTCTACTAGAAATAATAACTTGAAAGCTATTGTGGCACGCTGATTGTAAATTGTGTCCCAGTTATGAACTAAGCTGATGGGAGTCATCCGCGAGATTCCTACATATCTGTAGAAACAGTCGTATTTTGATAAACGTAGGATGAACAAAGTGTATTATTGCACAGGGTCAACAAACAGTTTGTTGCCATTTGAAGTAACGTTACTGATTTTATGACAACATTACCTCTTTTGTTTTTATAAAATGTACCAAGTTTTAAACGGATAAGTTGATTTTACTTGCTTTTTTGTTTGGTTTTCTTTTCAAGTCAGAAAAGTATCTTGCCAGTATTAGATGGGTTGTTTTTTTGTCTGCTACATTTGAGGGGGTTTTAGCCAAAGAGTAAACAGAAGAATATTTTTACTTTGGTGGTTATTCACTGTACTGCATGAGGTTTAGTTTTTCTTACGTGCTTACAGTTTACCACCGAAATAAAATGGTAACATTTACAGATGGCAGAGTGGTTTAAAGTGTACTGCCCAGGTTAGTGCTTATTTACTCCATTACTTGGTGATCTGACTTTTTCTGCTCATCTTGAACATCTTGAAAAGGTGATATTTTAAAATATTTTTAATCTGTCACCTTCTAGCCAAAGGAAGCAGAGAATGCTTTTTATCCTGTGCTTGGTTTATTACTGGCTGGGTAGTCCTAGCTTTATAACAGTGCTGATTAAAACCTACCGCTTCTGTTTACCTTCACTAAAATGTGTGGGTTTTTCCTCGCACCCTCAGCTGTTAATTTAATGTTGCCTTGCCTATAGCTGCAATATTTTGATAACACAGCAACTTCATGTCAAATTTTGAATGTTTATCTCTTGGGATAATGCAAAATGTAAAGCCTTTGTAACCTTACTCACACCATCTGTATCTGTCTTTACTGTTTCACTTTATCCAAGTCCTTTAATTCTAACTGAACACCAGCAGTATTTTTTCATAAAGTTTCATTTAAAGATAAGTATTGGAATGTACTTGGGGACTTTAGTGGGCGGGAGGGGAGTGGTGGATAAAATATATGTCAAACTTAAGCTGTCCATAGACTTAACTATTGTGAATGTCACGGTTTCATTTTTATTATGGTGGTTGACTTGACTCTGATGTTCAGTTTGTATTTTTGGAATTGCTTTTTTTTTAATTTTTTTCCTTAGAATTAAAAGACCAACATTAAATGTGTGTATTTTCTTGAGAGAGAAGAATGGAGTTTTGATTCTGTATTCCTGTGAAGGTACCTCCTCGGTGGTATCTGCCCATCGAGTTGTTTCTCTCTCTCTCTCTAGCTTTCCTGTTACTGTTCTGGAGACGCTTGGCCTGCACATAGACACTAACTGGTGCTCCGGCTATGCTTGAGGGATGCTTTGTTACAAGGTGTCATGTACTGGAAAATGCTGCAATAGTGCTGCTGAAGATACAGCTAGAGTAGTAATTAAAGCACACCTACAAATGCCTTTCTCTCATTGTATGTGAACTTCATTGTATGTAGTGATGGAGTGTCTAAAGGAAAACTATAACTGTCGCTGTATGTAACGATTTCATTTTGGTGTGACTCGATCATTGTATGTATGCATGTGTGTAAATATATGTAATTCAACTTGGTTGTGCTCACTGATTTAGACCCATTTCTATGTGTATCAGATTTAATATTTTTAAATTGTATTACAGTAATATTTAGATAGGTGAAGTCTCACGTGAGGCCGTTCTAAAGACGTAGGCATCACACGAACAAGATGGCAAAGAAATAATAGCACATTACTGGTCAGAATTGTAAAATAGTCATCACAGCAAAGTACTTCTCAAATCATTGTTCTCAACAAGGACTTCAAGAGGAATTTTGAATAAAAACGATGCTTTCTGTGCAAAATAGACATCTTGAGTGAGATTACAAATGAATTCTGAAAAAATCTGTGTGGTGTGTGAAATGAAGGTCAATATTTTGATTTAACGTGAAGACAGAAATAAAACAAAAAAGGCCTTGAAGGTGAAGACAAGCGGTTTTCTAGGGAGGGGAGGGAAAGATAAGTGGATAAACAGAAAAATGGTTGTGTCTCTGGAACATCCTACTAAAGTGATCTTTAGTGTTATATTTTTAAAAGGAATTTGGTGAATTGAGCTGGAAGGCGCCAAGGCTGGAGATGGAGCAGTAGTCACAACGCACCGATAAGGATGAGCTGGACAGGAGCATCAGTTCTGTGCACAGAGGGAAGAGGATGAATCTTGCAAATGCTCTGCAGGTAACATTTAAACCTTTAAACTTTAAACTGTTTCACTTCTTTAGTTCCCTCACAGCTGCCTGAAAGAAAAGCAGCTCTGCAGTTAAGGGTATTATGGCAGAAACCAGTATTTTCTAAACCCTTTTCTGCATTTCTAGGATGGTGGGTTGTGTTTGGTTGGTGCTGAACTTAAGCTGATGGCTAAACACCCATGTGGAGGTGTGAGGTGTCTTGGGATCCTAGTGTGATCAGAAAAACATAGTAATGCATGAGGAAAACAAATCGGACTTGTCAACCTAATGTTGTGGAGAAGTTGATTTCTTCTTCTGTACATTGCGTCATCTACAGGTGAGGTTTAAAGAAGAGACGGAGGAAGAGAGAGTCCTTTGGAGTCCTTGAAAGTTGAAAGGGGAATGACCATCTTCTAGAAAAATAGTACAGGGCAGTAGAAGGAAATGCAAAAGATAAGTACAAGTGGAAACTCTGGGGGGTCTGCAGTTGAGCTTGGAATTGGATGCTTTGCTGGTCTTTAACGCCTATTGTTCAGCAACAATGAAACAAGATTTTATTGTCATGGTTTTTGTCTGCTTTGTATTTCTGAATCCCTTAATGTTGCTCTTAGCTCATCTCTCCTGGTTTTAATCAGATTTTTTTCATATTCCAGCACTGAGATCCATATACGGTAACATCAGCAGTTCTGGCTTTCATTGATACCAAAATATTTTGCCTTACAGCTACTAGTTTTTCAAATAAAACTTATACAGTGCTTTTCATATAAGTTTTCTCCTAATCTGTTCACTGATAGTGTTTCACCAGTGTGTATATTTTTCACTTGTTCTGATTTGTTTTACAACTTCTGAATTTGTCAATATTCTGTTCTTTCCACAGTTACTTATTTTGTGTTTGGTATTGATTGACTTCCACGTGCCTTTGGTTTCCTGCTCTTCTGTTGCATGTCCAGTGTGGTAGCATTAATTTGCAATCTTGACACCTGCAGTCTTACTCCAATAAGCTCATTTGCTTCAAAACCTGCTTTATAGCAAGGAGCTAATTAATAGTTCTGTCTTGCTCTAAATAAAGTTTGTTCTTCTGTAAGCACAACTTTGAAGTACTTCATTTGTGCTCTGCCATTCCCTAATGAGCACTCACAAAACTGCTGCTGTCACTGCGGTCACTGCTGTCATCATCCACTGTGACAGTTCCTGCTTTGCTATGTACCCGTTTCTCTCATTCATGGACATTACTAAGGTGCCTCCTTGGTGTTTTTCACCCACTCGGTCTCGCTTGGTATTCATCACTTCACAGATTGGTTGCATGAAAGCAGAGATTGGAAAACAGGAAGATAATCTCTAGAATTTTACTATCAACAATGGTTAGAAATTCAGGGAGAGGGAAATAACGAACAACTGGAAAGTTTTTCAGGCTGTAGGATGTTAGTTTGTTTTTGTAGTAGTGGCAGGAGGAAAAGGTGAGCCTAAAAAGGGGAAGAATATAAGGTAAACTTAAGTTGATCAAGATGATAATGTGGAGTTCCTTGGTTAGGCAAAGTGCTACTGCTTGTGCAGAACCCCCACTCAGAACCATCCTTTGACAAACTGGGGGGGCTAACTGGCTAAGTGTGTGTATATAAATGGATGTAATATGGGTAGAAATACACAAGTCTGAGTAATACTATAGGAAATGAATGTATTTAATTATGAGATTTCTAAGTGGGCTGTGAAATGCCTATTGAAGAGACAGCCTTTGGGCTGTAAAAAAAGTAAAAATAAAAATTACAAATTCAATCACTGCCTTCTCTCCTCCTGTGCTTTTTCTTCTCTGCTTGTGGTAATGAGCCTGGCTATCGGAGGTGCTCATGTGCCTCACAGTCATTCAGGGGTGTGAGTGCTAAAGCTTTAGAATGGAAACTCCTGTTCGTTTGGGTACCTGGGGCTGCTTTCTTCTTCCCAGTCTTGTGGCTTCATCCTGTGGGAGAGAAGTGACTGCATGGACAGGCATGGGTGTCTTTTGACTTCACTGAGGCTCTTACCACTCACTGAAATCCTCCAGCAT